AATAGTTTTTACTCTATATATATATATATATATATATATATAATGTGTGTGTGTGTGTGTGTAATATTTTTAATTTATTTTGTTTAAACGTTATTTTAATGGCTACTCATATGCGAGTAGAAGCTCTTTTAAAAAAAAAAAAAATTAAACAGTATCTTTTATTAAACTACTAGGCTGAATATTCGAGAAATCATGTCAGAAAAAATATATATCCTTCGGCCAATGACGTTTTCTCATAGGAGATGCAGGTTCGAATCCTACCAGAGGATGCATATTTTTTCTGACAGGATTTCTTGAATATTCAGACCGGCAGATATAGTTGGGTAAAAAAAATACTGTTTAATTAAAAAAAAAAAAAAGAGTTTCTATTCGAATATGAGTATCCATAAAAAATAACGTTTAAATAAAATAAATTAAAAATAACACACACATATATATATATATATATATATATATATATATATTTTCATGGTATGAAATAATTTGGGATTAGTATTGTTAACCCTCCCTCACCACAAATTGTAGACTACACTGTACCAATTCATAATTGTTGAACAAGGATCAACCGACGTGTGCAACATGCCAAGCAGCACTTACGGTGAAACAAATTTAAACTGATTGTACTTGCTCAGCACACATAAGACTACAAAGAAACCAACATGAGAAAACTATTTTAAAAAACTGTTTACATAATGTCATACCTTAAAAAAATAAGTTTATGCCAAAACATATAACACCTACAACAAATCATATACAAACTATATCTAAAACATGCGTTTACTCAGAAAAATATAATTATGTACAAAATGTCTGTAGTTGAAAGCCTACAACGGCGTTCAAAATATTATTTGAAACTAGAAAATTGTGTTCAAAATATTTAGATTTCGGTATTAAATAACCTATAGGTTAATATGCTGCTAAACAAAATCAACCAACCAAAAACTGTTCATATAATTTTAGATTTAGTAATTTCATTGAGCAAATGAGTCATTTTGGTGATTGTGATGCTACTAGTAAGAGTGAAAGAGTTGTTTTAATGAATGCAAGAATACTTGTATGGTTGAGTCAATGAGTAAGACTCGCTAGATTAAAATATGGCTAGTAAATACCGGCTTTCAGCATCCCCCATTTTGGCCTTGTGAAACATTTTGTACATTATGTGCAAATAAATGTATTTCAGCTACCATTGTTTTTAATTTGTTGCGGGGGGGGGGTCTTTTTTTTTTACATTGTCTATAACTATCAGTGATCAGCAGGTGGTGCCTTACACTTACACTTCCTACATAGGCCGCAAATTTAGACAAATTTAAAAGATGCAACTCCACCTCGTAGATTCTTGAAGAAATTTCGGGAACCCAAAGAAGAAAGGTAAGGGTGAAATCCTATCCTTATTGCTCTTGTTATTAGACTTTGCCGCTTTCTCTTTCTACCTTTTTTTTTTTAGGCTGATAGTGACGGGGAGGTAATAAAAATCGCCATAAGCTGCAAAAGAGCTAAAACCTAAACCTGAAAACAAACCCTCATTTCCCAACCGTCATCTTAAATATATTTTAATATTACGTTTGATCTTTGAATACAAATGATTCAAAATTTCTCTGAAGTATACAATTTATTATACTATTGCACTAGGTGATGACATAAAATGATAGTTAGCAAATAGCACTAACAGTCTATTTACTAGTGTAGTCTGACTTACAGGTCAATAATAGCTTACTGAATATTTCCAATTCATTTCATTATGTACTTGCCGCAGAATAGTAAACGTACCATTATTGCTTTGACCATGGAACTACTTATTGCAAGGCAACGCCACATTAACCTTTAAGCGAGATATGTACTTAAAAGAGAATAATTAAGCCATGCCTTACTATAACGAGCTTAGTGGCCGAGACGCTAATGGCGCGCTTGTGGTTGCTTAGAAGAAAAGAGACTGGTTAATTTGTTAATTATGGCTTATCAACCCTTCGTGGGTTATTTAAAACCGGACATATATTTTGGATTTTAAGAAATTTTTTGATTGAATACGGCATTGGCACTATTTTGAGAATAATAATGATTTTTTTCAAACTTCTATTTTCAAGTTCTACTTAACCCATAGCTGGAAGAGGAGATGGATTCGTTACTTTCCCAAGGGTATTTAGTCGTAAATAAATGTAACGAACACGCATATCCCAGAAGAAAAGTTTTCTACTCGGAGGTACATGCAGCTGAATAAAAATCACGGTGGCATGTCTTTCATTTTATGTCAGGTTCCAAAAACAAAAGATCCAAAATGGTTGTGGTCTAAAACATTATGAAATAAAACCGTTGTAGTTGGCGATGTACGCCAAAGCCTACTCATGTTACTAGAACTGATAAACAAAAATGATTCGTTTTTCATTGATTGATTTGTTTTTTACGACTTACCAACCGGGCTAGAGGCGGTGTAATGGATAGCAAGCTTATCTCGCTAGAACAATTGTGACTGAGTAATGAGTTCGATCCTCACTGGGTGCCCCCTACTTTCAGCCTTGTGCCACATCTAAGCTACACTTAGCAAATCCCTTTACAGCTTGCCAACTTTTGCAGGCATTTTTCTTGCTCTAAATAAGCCAGAAACATTTTTAGATTGTAAGATATTTTTTGATGATAATTATTTAGTGAGACAAGTTTTACTAATTAACCCATAACTGGAGGAGAAGATGTGGATTCATACCTTCCCCAAGTGTATTTGCGCGTAAGTGAATATAAAGAAAGCCAATTGAAATTGGAACTCGACTCTCCGATGAAAAATTCCAAACCATTATCAATTACACCACCCGCACGCTCAAAGTTAGAGTATCTGGTATTTCCAAGCGGTTACTCATTTAGTCACTGACAAGGTTCGACGTTGCTTAACTTCGGTGATCGTACGGGAACTCGTTTTTTATAAAGTTCTAGGCGTCAAGAAGTAAGGATGTTGCTGATATCTTCAGCCACAAAGAAATAAATCATTCCATTTATTGCATCAACCGAAATTAAATTCACGTAATGAAATTTGTTTGCATACAATGATTACATAACTAAATCATTTCCTCTGGTGTTTATAGATAAAACAGCGAAATCTTCTTGCTTTCTTTTTTTTTGCATGCGCGTCGCTTTCATCAAGATATTCGACCGTCTAGAGACGTGTCCTATGTGCTTAAGCATTTGTACATCTAAAAAATATTTCATACATCTCAAAAATATTTCATACATCTCTTTACAATACGTTTACGTACAAATACAAAGCGGGTCAGTAGGTTAACATATATTCATGGCCTTTAAAGTCATTTGAAGAGAAATGAACAAAAATATTTTTTTACATGCATACAATTAATAAAAGGTTAATATAATCAAACAAATTTTAAAATGGGCTTAACATTTTCAAATGATTTTCAATTGCGACATTTCCGATAAAGATCTTTGTCGTTAACTTCCTGAAAAGGCATTGATAATGTGTTAATGTCAAGTAATAGAATTCTTTACTGAGAAGTGAGTAAGCAAATTTTTCATCAATAAAAATAGGGTAAATCTGGCTAAATTCTCGCGCGTAGAGTGGGAGTTTTAAGCCAGTTCTAACGGATGGGTTAAATAGCGCCTTTGGCCTCCAGAAGAGAGCGTGGGTTTCAACATTTTATTAAATCATTTTCAATTGCCATCTTTGATCGTATTTATCTTTAAATACTCGGTAAATTTTCACAAAATAATATTTCAAACTGGAAAATTGTTTTTATTGGAAAAAGAAACACAAGCTGAACTATGTTTTTGTTCGGACTTAAAGCTTAACTCTGATGGTCCCTTATATGCCATCGTGTGATCTTTTCTACTAATTCACCCCAAATAATGTAAAGTTACTTATCACAAATATTAATTCACCGCAAGAAATTATAAATCAAAGTTTTTTTTTTTTGTTTTTTTTTTTTATTTATTAAATGTTCGGCACGCTTTTGAAATTATAAATTGTGGATCAAATTTGTTTCGCTTACCTCGTAACAACTGCAACACTCAGAATGAAAAATTACCAAAAATCAAAGAGTTATTCACATTTTGTAAGTGCCGATGATATTCGAGATACTTACAAGAAATTTTACAATTAAAAAAATAAAAATAAAAATATATTTGGGGTTTGTTTATCGAAGTGAGCGCGAACGGCAATCCCAAACTTAGAAATAGTGCACTCGAGACGCCCACATTTGGGGTGATCGCAAAAGTCAACCCAACCGGAGTGCAGTGGCAGGTCTTCGCTCTGGGAAAATTTCGTGTAAATTTTAGTAAAAAAATTTCGTGACAACATATTTAAGTACTGACAACATCATTACGTTCTAACAACAAACACTAGAAAAAGGTTACAGGATACAGTGACTGAAACCTTGTAGTAGAAATTAGTTTAATGATGCAAGTCTGAAAGACTAATCTTCGTAATAACAATAACATTTCATCTATTAGAAATCAAATAAGTATGAGTCTGTGTTCATATTTGCATGCATATATGTAGTATTAAAACGCAGGGATATTAAAATAGCCGGTAAACCCCTTAGGACGGTTGGACGTCGTTGAGTTATCGAACTAGGAGTAGTAAAACTCTATTGTACCACATACGGCTTGTGAACCTCCAGTGGTGTTGGCTGTTTATTTTCTTTATGGATACAAGTTGTTCTTGCTTAGAGATTGAAACGTCTTACTTTCTTTTAAAAATTTAATTTCCCAGTATTGCTTGATAATGATTGATTTTTTTTTCTAAAGCTTATCAACTCTTTGCAGTTTATTTAAAGACAGAAAATATCTTAAGATTGTAAGACTTCTTTGGGAGGTGGGGTATAATAATGATTTGGTATTATAAGTTTTAGCCCTTAGCTAGGAAGATAAAGGTGAACTCATGCCTTTATCAAGGATATTTGCGCATAAGTAAATATAACAAACCCAACAGGGATTGGAACTCAGACCCCCCACCGATTAAAAATTTCGAGCCATTATCAGTTACACCGCCCGCACACCCAAGGTTACAGCACCTAGTATTCCTAAGCGGTCACCCATCTTGGTACTGACCAGGTTCGACATTGCTTAACTTCGGTGATCCTCAGGCGGATCCGTTGTTTCAACGTCATCTTACCGTAAGCCTGTATCGCCGGTAAGTCACAATTTACAGTGATATTTTGCACTGATCATACTCGACTAAAATGTGGCAGCGATTATTTTTGGAAGGAATTGTTTTTGTCTGGGATATTATAACGTATTGTCTCTCGTGGTTAGCGTTCAAGACCAAATTTTCAAATGCTAATTTCTTTTTCAAAACAATAAAGCACCTGTTTGGAATCATAAGGCAATACAATTTTCTTGTTTTCATTGGCTCAATATCTACTTGGTAAAATAATGAGCTAAGTCAATATGTAAATATGTGAATGCGTATGTCTTTTTAGAGAAGTACAGGTGGTCCGAAAGTCTTGTCACCTTCAACCAAAAAGTAATGAGAACAATAGAAGAACAAGTAACAGAGTAATACAAAGCACATATACTGGATTCTGTTTATTCACTTTCATTGACGCTGTCACACATCGAGAAGGTCTTTATGAACAACCATCATTTTAGTGGCACAAAATGATACGACGCCATGTCCTGTGTGATATTTTACGAAGGTGTGCTTTCTTGATTGTTGCAAAGGTTTTGTACGAACGGCATCCTTCAACTGAAGGCTATTCTGGTATCGTTCATGTGAAACTCTCTCCTTGGTAATACCCAACAGGGCGTTGAAATATAAAATTATCGGTGACAAGACTTTCGGACCACCCTGTACAAATTGAAATCCGAATTAAAAGTTACATTTCGCTTCGACAAAAAGATATTACCGATAATTGCTCTGCCAGCGGTCATCAAACAAGCTTCCAAGACAAAGAATATTGTATATAAATATCAATGTTTTAAGGTCCGCTTAACTGTGGTACGATTCTTGCCAAAATTTATTTCTCTGAACATTAATACAAAAATGTCGCCAATTCTCTCCGTTTTTTGTTTGTTTTGTTGTTTTTTTTTAAGATATCCAGCCAGAACTTTGTCTGATCCAAAAGGTCAAATAATTTAATATCATTGTTATTCTCGGTGATTAATAACAAAGATCATCGGAATGTTCCAATAACAGATTGGACTTTACTTTTAAATCCGGCAAAATCTTTATCTAGCCGGGGGTAGAAGCGATAGATATCTTTTATCATTGTTTCTGCCATTTAACATTTCTCTTTAGTGTGTTTCTCTCACGCTCTTCTTTCTTTCTTTCTTTCTTTTTTTCTTTCTTTCTTTCTCTCCGGCTCTCTCACCTTTCTCTCCATCACACTTTTTCTTTTTCTTTCTCTTTCTCACTTTTTATTTCTTGCTCTTACTTTTGTCTCTATCCATCTCGCTCTAACTTTTTCCTTTCTCTTTCTTTCTCTTTCTTTCTCTCTTTCACTTTTCCCTTTCCTTTACTCTTTCTCTCTCTTTTTATACCGTTCTCTCCCTCATTCTCTATCTCTTTCTTTATATCTATTAGCTCTTTCACACTCTCTCTCACTTTTTCTCTTTCACTCTCTTTCTCTCTCATTTTTTCTCTCTTTCTCTCACTTTTCCCTCTATCCATCACGCTCTCCCTTTTGCTTTCTCTCTTTCACTTTCCCTCTCATTTACTCTTTCTCTCTCTCTCGTCTTATACCACTCTCTATCTCTTTCTTTCTATCTCTTTATTAGCTTTTTCTCATTCACTTTCATTCTCTTACTTGTTCTCTCTCACTATCACTCTCTTTCTCTCCCTTCCTATCCCTCTTTCTATCCATCCATCTCTTTCTTTCTTTCTTTCTTTCTTTCTATTAACTGTTTATAAGTCGTGCGTTCTGCTGCCGAAAAATGTTGATTATATTAACGTCTAATTGACTAGTCATTTAAAAGTACCATTTCGATGACCTCCGCCGATACTGGCAACGTTTACTGAAACGTGCAGCTGCTTTTCTTTCTGATAAACACAGTCTTCACTAAACGTCTTCCCTTCGTGAGTCCACTTTCAGAAGAGCTGGCTTGTCGGAAAACAGAATAGACAATGACAAGAAAAATCCAGAGATTTTAATTCAGGATTTTCAATCTGCAAGGTCATTTTGAGTTCATTTTGAAGTAATGTATACAAGCAAAAACATCAGGTTATTTTGTTCAAATCTCTTCTATTTTTTGCCTTTATTTGGTATTAGTTCGCTTTCATCTGACTTAAACCAATACTTCTCGTGCCTTACATAACGTACGCTAAGCTAAACAAATTCACTCGAAGGGTTTAAAGCGGTATTAGAATTTGTTTATAAGTTTTTGGACGCTAATTAGATCAGTTGATCCACTCATTGAAAAAGAGAGGGATTTTAAAAAATTGTAGATTGACATTTCTTAGATATTCCTCTAACGAGGATGTCGAATCGGAAAATATTTCTTCATCAATTTAGAAGTGTGGTGGGGGTTGTCCAAAACAGAAATAGAGAATCAACTCCTTTCCAAAAAGATCTAGTTTTCCTAAGAGTTTAAGTAGATCCTTGTGCCGTGCCTTGTCAAATGCTTTTGCGTAATCAACAAAGCTTAAGTGCACATCCTTCTGCATTTGTGATGCTGTGTCCGTTATCATTCGAATCATGAATATTGCATTTCTTGTTCCAGTGTCGTTGACAATTTTGGACGCTGATAAATTCAAAGCAAAACACCTGACATTATTTCAGGCGTAAGACTTGATTTCTGCTAGCTGACTTGATTTTCGAACAGGCATATATTTTCATATACACATTCTACTAAACTAACTCTCACAGGAAGAAAATCTAATTGATACCCATTTCTTTTCCTTTTGAATACAAATTTTTTACACAATATCGAATTTTATTGTCAAAGCTTTCACAATCAAATTGACATTAAACAAGCAATGTTGGTAAAAATTTCAGGATAGATTTATAAGTGATATATCTTCTGAATTCAGCTTATAAATTTTATCCGAATTAAAAATAATGAAAATTACTGATAACTCGTTTTGGAATGGACATTTCATCACCGCCGACTCAACACCGGTCAACTCATCAGTCATTTCCTGGCCTATTTCACAACAGAATGTTTAGATCAGCTGTCAATTAGAGTTACCATTAAGACTGGAGTAAATTGTTGTTGTTAGCGTAGCTACCGAGTTAAGAACTGGTAATCTCCGGAAGGACGTTGATGAAAAATAAGAAGAATGTTGGCCCAATGATAGAGCTCTGTGACACATCCGCATTAATGCAAAAGATATAGAATATATTTTGCATAAATACATATTAATATATATACTCAATAAATAGACAAGGAATACCACATATTCATTAACACAATATCCGATATTTCCCGATAAATTATTAATTTTCATTTTAATATGGACTTCTTGACATTCTACAACATTCATCAGCCTTTCAGTCATTGTTTTTAATAACTCTATATAAAATTCTGTGATTTCTGTTCATATATGGCTATTTTAGACGGTGTGATGGGGGAACGGCTGTCCGTCCCTTCGTCTCAATCTTTTCCTCAAGTTTTTTTTTTATATTTGAACGAAACGTAGAGTTTGTAAATCTCGACAAAAATGTTAGCGATAACTTCAACAATACTAAATACTGTGAGGATTTCAATACCCGTCAACAAAAACTTCTAGTATACTAGAAGTATATACATAGACAAGTATAGAATAGTATAAATAGACAAGAGAAACCTCATTTTCTTTGACACAATATCCGATATTCCTGGATAAATTATTAATTCATCAACAACATTCATCAGTTTTTCAGTCACTGTTTTTGCTAAATTGTCTACTGTTTCAATTTTATCATTAATTACGGCAATTCTTATTGCTTCCCAAAAATCATTACTTCTATATTATTTTCTATTCTCATATACAAAGTTGTCAACTAAAAGGTTCTATTGCTTTAATATCTAAAGAGACCGATGTTTAAAAATCAGTTTGATGTTATTCTCGTTTTTGTTTTTTGTTTTTGTGCCACCAGTTTTTTTTAATATTTTATCATTATTTTTATCGTATCTTAACAATGTTGCCATGTTTTTATGTTCTGTGATTTCTCTTCAATTATTTCACAATTTCCAATTAATTTCTTAAAAATATCTTGTTTCTCAATTGAAATTATCTTCCTCACAAACCGAAACTACATACATATATATATATATATATATATATATATATATATGTGTGTGTATATATATGTCATCCACGTACAGGCCTGTTTCGCTGTATCTCATCAGTACGACTAGACATCCGATTGCTTCAAGCCGGGATCGAAACCCGACTGATGTGAGATGGCAGAGGGAAAGGGAAATTCTAGCGTATTATCTTTTAAGGACGTCAGACAGCCATAGTTCTACATTCATTTGAAGAGCGTTGCGTTAACGGAGACAGTTGCTGTTTAGAATTACCCTCTTTCACTAAACAGTGCTATATATAACTTCTTGATAACTCTCCGCTGAAGGCCAGGATTGAACTCAAAAGTCTTTGAAAGGTCAAGTCACTTCGTCACAATCAGCCAACGCTTTTATTTACTGTGCCATGTGTAACCAAGGACTGGGAGTATTATTAAGGCTAATTAACTGAAACTGGGATATCCAAAGGCATCGTACGTCTAATTAAATCAAACTACTCCTGTGAACTAAATAAACGATTCGGTTCGAAATTCCAACAAATATCACCTGAAGAAGGCCAGGGTGTACAACGTTCGAAACGTCGTGAATGTGATAGTAAAGATGCGGACAACAGTCCGAACAATGTAAATTTTTCTTTGTTTTGTTTTTTTGTTTTGTTTTTTTTCTATCAGATGATTGCAAAGATTAGTGCCCGATTTTCATTATTAACATAAAATGACCTCAACTTAACAATGGCATTTGTTTTGGGGTCGATTTCTGGTATGTTCTAGATTGAATCATTTACTCTTTATTTGCGAGTCAGCCTTTGTTTAATATTGACCTTTTGTCTACATATGAATGCCTTAAAGATGGAAGATGAAAAGTTACACTTTCGCAATGTTATACTCTATGAATTTCGGAAAGGTGTAAGAATCGGAATCGCGACAAAAATAAACATAT